GGTGGAAATAGGGGAGACGTGTGATACATATTTATCTACACAGAATGAACAGATGCTTGATTGAGTGGTAACAAGGTATGTCCTAGCATGGCCCCTAACATATCACTTGGCTTCTTTCTGTTCAGCAGCATTCCTTCAGAGATGAGTAAAATACTCTTGTATTGTAGGGCTGTCGACTTCTCTTGGCTGCTCTACTGGGTTCTGATTTCCCTTCTCAAGTGGTCTGAGTGGAAAAAAAAAAAAAAAAGAATTAACATTTGTTTTCAGTTTTGCTGTTGTCACATTGCTATAGAATTTACTGCTTTCACACTTGAAGTCTTCTTAAGATTACCCACTGAATCAAGAACATGGGCTAAAATAGTTTTTAATGAGTTTTTTTCAGATTGAATTCTAGCATATTATTTTCAATAAACTATCTTCTTTCTGTTTAACCATCATGGTACTTATCTTCCTGGGTGGTCATGTTACCCATCTGAAACTCTGCAGTAGAAGTGAATGAATCCTGAATGATATTTCTCACCCAGCCCTCCTTTAAATGTGGTTTTCCCCTCAAACATTAATATTTTCACTATGCTTTCGTTTTCCATTAAAAATAATTTAAACTATTTAATAATTAGATCTAATCTCCTTTGGCAAAACTTAAAACAAATGTGCATTTCATCTACGTGGTTTCAATCATTTTTGGCGCTGTATTCATTCAGATTTGCCGAGAACACATCCATGCGGACAGGCATGCTTGTCTCAGACTAGGTCCAGCAAGAGAATGGAAGCATGGCACTAATTACCACTGCACAGGAAAAAGGGAAAAAGCCGTCTGGCAGTGGCCTGCTCCAAAGTGTTTGCAATGTAATTGAGTCCTGCAAGTGTGGAGCCAGGCTCATGGCTGGCTGCTGCCAGAGAAGGGAAGTTTCCTTCCTCTCTTGCTCACCCAGCCCTTCCTAAGGCCAGCTCTACTCAGTAAGCCATGATGAAGCTGAGGTGGAAGGGGTTACTTACCTGGCAAGTTTTAAGTTGCACCATCTAACAAAGTGCTCTAATAAAGACCACTAACACAAACTAAGGGATGTGTGTCCAGCTGCAAGAATTGTGGGAGGCAGGAACAAAGAGCCTTTGACATTATTGCAGGCCAGTATGGAGGCTCACTCTGTCGCTTTAAACCTCTGTGGTAGTGAAATCCCACACCAGAATCAGAGACTTTGAAAGTCTATAAGATGAACATAGTAACAGAGAACAAGAGGGATGAAAATATCCCATTTCCTCCCTTACTGGTTAGACTACAGAAATCTTGAGTTCCATATACCTCAATTTGCAGAAAAAGCTGAAAGTGTACATAAATAGGAGGTGAATAGCTAGTCCAGGCTCTGTGGATGATGAGCAATTGGTTGCTGTTAATATTGCTGCTTCCCAAATATAATAATTGTTTATGGATCAATTTCTGAACAGCTTACCCAATATCTATCTAGGCTTTAGGCTCTGTGTAGTCCTTTTTTTTTTGGTCTACCTGTTTTAATCATAAATGTGTTTTCAAAAGTCTAAAAAAGTCTAAATCTCAGCTATTTTGAGTGTATGTTTATGACTTGCTGATTATTTGTCCCTGTGCTTTTCTAAAATCTGATGGGGGAAACCCTGACTTTAGTTATTTTACAACTTTGTTGACAGTTTGTACTGTAACAGCTATGATATGATTGGGTTTGTGCCAAGCTGGGAAGTTCTGAGTGGAAACTTGTAGCCTTCTGTTTATAAAAGCCTGGGTTTCTGTCTTACACACATGCTCATCTATGGGAGGAAGGATTTTTTTGTGATTCATAAAAAATCATAAGCTTTATTTTGAAAGCTGATGTCAATGATGGATGAAATACTGGGAGTCAAAAAAAGTCAGGAATCCCAGGAGAAGACTGAACCCCAGTATCAATGGGGAATTCCTCAGCCATGACTGTAGCACAACACGTGGTAACATGTTCCTCTTACCCTTATGTTCCCTCTGTTCAGTCCCCGATAAATCCATTCCTGGATGCTAGGAAGAAAAATGACCTTTCAAAGCTGCGAGAATTGCCAATTCCATGCATTTCCTCTGTGACAGACAATTTACTCTAATACTTCTGTCCTTATTTCTTATTTATCTCTCAAAATCTGTTGTAGCTATTCTGTAATATGCTGTATGTTAACAAAATTTCCAAATGCAGAAGTGAAGAAAGGCAGTAGGGATTTTCTCTCTTCTGTTTTCAGTGAAAATGATACTAAGTACTACTCTGGTTATGAAGCCAACCTCTTAGTGAAATATGCTATTATTTAATCATTATGTTTAGGATATAAATGGACTGTTTTTATTGGACAATACATGTGTATAAACAGATAAAATTATACACACAGTCCCATGCATATTTCATCTGGGAGATTCCCATGCCTGCAGCTTACTGAGAGCAAACTGATCCTTTACTTCTCAAGAGCTGCTTTCCAAGTTTCTAGTGATCCAAGTATCTACATAGCTTAACAGAGAATAAGAAAGAATTTGTGATCTCAGTCCCATTTGGAGTGCACAGGTGCCTGCATCCTTAACAATCACAAATGTCTGTGTGTTTCCAAACCTCACTTAGAGCTGAGCAAATGGATTTGATTTTTTACAGACAGAAAGGAAAGCTCTATGAAAACGGTGCATCTAAAAAGACAAAGAGTGTTGTGTCTGGGGTTTTAATGTACTCTTCAGTGTGTGGAAAGACGTTTCATACATTGTCTTCAAATACCCAGGTAAAAGTAAATTCCATTCAACCAGCAGTATTTCTCATGAGAAAGAATGCTGTCTCTTCTCTCTCCTGCTTTGGTCTCCCTGGAAATTTCAGTAGGAAGCAAGGTTAAAGTCTTGCAAACATGTGGGAAAACCCATGCTTGGTACTTTCTAAGGAAGTAATGGCTCTTGATTTTTCAATATATGAAACATGTTTTGCTTCCCAGCAAAATTCTGTAGTGTCTGTTTGGAAAAAGGAACAATTGTGTTTCTACACTGACGTCTCCTAAACTGAATATTCCATTTATCCTTTTTCACCACTCTTGGTATAACTGTGTGGTTTTTGTTGTTGTTGTTTTGACAAGTGTTTTTTATTTGGTGTAATTTTTTAAGAATTAGGAAGAAGAGCATTGAACACTGAATTAGAAGTTGAAATCTGGGGTTGCTGGGTTTATTGCGAATGCCTGTGTAGTGACAGCCCCAGCATGCGTGAGCGTGGTGTGTGTGCGTGTGTGTGTGTATGTGTGTGTGCGTGTGTGTTTTTAAATAAAAAGGAAAGCAGAGGTTTGCTCATTTGTTTGCCTATTGTGAAGCTGTCCTGCACCTTTCTACTTCTTTGTACTGGGGTGAAGGCTGCTGAATGGAGGCCTTGTGCCATTTGTTGATTTTAAACCTCACTGTTAATCCACAGGAACCTGCTGGTGTGCGCAGCAGGAGAGCTGTGTGACAAGTGGAAATCTGGGCGGGAGGGAGTGCGGGGGGTCACAGGGGATAATAATCATTCAGCCATCAGCCTTTGTCACCCTTAAGCCTAATTGTTACCCTCTGCTGGTAACCACATTGAAGTGCTGGCCTTTTAAGTGTTTCTTGATTTTACTTGGCACAGGCTTAGGGATAGGGTCATTTATTGCTGGGTTTATATCGTATCAAGTTTGCTGGGGTTTGTTTAATTAGCCCCATTGAATTTTCCACATCCCTTAAAATAATCTGTGAGAGTCCGAATGGGTGGAAGGGGCTGAATGGAAATGGTACAGTTGTTAACAAATTTCTCTCTGTCAGAAGCTGGGCTAAAACTGGAGACAGAAAGCTTTCCTGCTCTGCCAGCCAGCTGCCTTCTGGAGGCTGTGCATGAGCCGCAGCTGTGGCTGTGGGCACTGGGCTGCCTGAGCAGCCCTGCACAGGCAGCGGCAAGGTGATGGTGGGGTGGGGCAGAGGGCAGCTTGCCCTATCCTTCTGTGCCTTGCAGCTCCTGCCTGCTTCAGGTATGCTACCAAATCGAAGGCCTGAGGATGGCTGAAGGAAACTGAACTGGTAGCAGACTAGGGAATGGGAGAGGAGAGTTAAATAATTTAAAAACAAAGAAAAAAGTGAGATATCTTTTCTAGCAGGAACTGGTTCTTCAACTTTCCCTGCCAGTTGTACATGCTGAAGTTAGTATTGAGCTTTCTGTTGTTTTCCCTAAAGAAGCTGGTGTAGAAGCTGCTATAAAAGCTAAAATGAAGCCTGAATTTAAGGCTTTGCAATGGGCAAGTATCTCTGCGTGGGAAATGAGCTTGTGCTGGGGGGTGGGGGATGGGGTGCAGGACAGGAGGTTGTTTCATTGCTCCCCCACCCGTGCATGGTGGGTGTTGTGTTGGGCCATTAACTAGGACTGCTTGGGCTTGTGTAGGGAGAAAAATCCCCAGGTTACTGGTACAGGCTTTGAAGCTACTCTTGATCAAATACACGTGCCCTCTAACCCTTCAGACAGAATGTGGCTGCAGCAGATGCAGCGACTGTGCTGTGTGCTATGACCTCATGGCCAGGGTTTGAAATTTGCGCCAGTAGTACTGATGGTAAATCCAGGGTTGTTACAGGAGTCTGATTACACAGCGTGATTGCAATCCTATTTTCAAGTCCAGTCTTCCACCTGGCTCAGTACTTTATCAAAACACTAGAGAATACGTCTTAGAGTAGGATGAATGTTTGCGCTTACTACTTACTCTTTTACAGTAAAATGGGGCTGTTTATTTTAGAGCTTTGGTTTTGTGTGTTTTCCCATGTTCCAGTGGTATGATTCCCTGCTGGTTGTTGGCATGCATCTCAGCTCCCTGGTTTACTTTACAAACAGCACATGTCATAGTGGGCTTGATACTTGTATCAGAAAGGTTTAACTAGTAAAAACTTCAGATCAAAAAACCATCAGCACTCAGCTGTTGTTTTTTTCACCCTTCTGTGATGCATATTTAATTATAATTACTGAGTCAGGTTAATAATTCTTTTACAACTCTTGTTGCAGGACATGTCTCAGGAAGGCTATGGAACCAGATCTCAACCCCCTATGGCCCCAGGAAAGCCTAACCATGAAGACTTGAATCTAATCCAGCAAGAAAGACCATCAAGCTTACCAGTAAGAAAATCATGTTTGCTTCAGTATTTTAAAATTGAAAGCACTTTACATACTGCTTCATTGCATCTGGGATGAGCAGATGAGAAGTAGTGAAAGAAGAAATACTAAATAAGGTTGATGAAAAATTGTTTTTTAAAATATGGGAACATATAGCTTGTATATGAGTGGACTTGGCTTAAGGTTGTTCTATTTCAGAACGGCGCTATTTACACACATGCATGTTCTGTGCTTCTGCACATGTACATTTGCATAGAAGAAATTGATTTTTTAAACTTCAGAAATTCCGTACTTGCAGGAACCAATCTGGTTAGGAAGAAGCTTTTTTCTGTGTCCTTTTTCAAACGTTTTCAGTAGATTCTGGTTTAGAATACTGTTACCAAGAGTTGTCTGTTCTCAACCCTGATCATCAGTAATGAGTTTGACATGTTAATTCTGCTACTATCTATTCTACACAACTGTAGAAGCATGAATGACAGCAGTACTTAGGCTAGGTTGATTTTTGGTTAGGAGGTTATTTTGGACTACTATTTATCAGCTTTTCTGAGCTCTACACATTGTGCTGTGGGGGAAACAGCACAAATGAATATATGTTGTGCAGGCACTGCAGCTACTTGCATTTTTGAAGGTCTTATAATGGACAAAGTACTTAGCCTTGTTTCTGTGTGCTCCTTGTGGTTTGGGGATTTTCTTGTTTGTTAGTATAAACCAGCATGAATTTAAACCAGCTAGAGTATATTCAGCTTAAATGATGAAAACTTTATAAACTATATGACCTCTGGCTTGGAATAATGTATTAGAAACATGTAAGATATTTCCCACAGTTCACTAGGTATGTGTTCATTTTCAGCTGGCAGAGGGATCTCTCTGAAAAGTTTACTATATCAAGATACCACATGTATTTGTGAAATTTGGTAGTATGTTGTATATATTACCTCTGGCACATGGCACAATTGTAAATCCATAAAAACGGGGCAATAAACATCTTCATCGCATTTTAAAGTTACATCTTTGGCACCTAGGAGAGGTGTGCTACAAATACGTGCCACAAATTCTTTACATGATGTTTGAGACATGCAAGTCTCTGGAAAAGCTATGGAAACTGGTATGAGAGAAGATACTCATTTGCTTTGAACCTAGTATTAATTTGACAGTTTTTCATGAACCCTTTTTTAAACAGACTAATTTGTCTGAACAGTTCTCAAAAATGGAAGCTGGCAGTTACCTTTAAAGTAGTAGCTCCTGTGGACATTGAACTGTTTCAGCAACAACTACCTAATTTAAAAAGCAGGGATACTAAAAAGGACTGGGAAAATCTCCCAGTTTTGCATGAACATTGTTTATTAGGGTAGAGAGAAGTGAAGTTATTTATCAACTAGTGTTCTGCTAATTTTGCCTGTGTTTTTTCTTAAACAATTGTCCTACTTTTAATCCATGCTCTGTCCTATCTACAGCATCAAGATATTTAAGCAGAGTATTGGGTATTATCTGTGTCCCTGAGTATTTGGTATATTTAGTAGCTCATAATTATTCTAGGTATGAGTAAGCTGGTTGTATTAACAGTGAATGTTAACCATTTTGGCCACTGAGCTTAAACTCTAAGTTGGTCCCAAATGCTGTTACTGAGACACCTAATTACTGAAAAGCTTTGATGCATAACCTGAGAGCACTTCATATACTCAAAAAACACTGCTGTTTTCATGTGGAGGGGAATTGGAGGATACTATAATTCTGTATTTTGGTGTTGCTGTGGATTTTTTGTTTGTTTTGTTTTTCAAATTTAAAAACAACTTCAATTCTTTGTATGTAGCAACAAGGGTTTTTTGATGATCCATACATTAAAAGCTTTAATACAAGTCTATTTGGGGTAATGGTTTGAACATGGTGGTTTTTCCCTGAAGCAGGAGAGCTCTGTATTCTGTTTTGGACTGCTTATGAAAACCCTTGATCACTATTCCTTGTTCAGTATTCCTAGGTAGCTTCATTTTGGTATACTCAATATGGCTTCTTAAGCTTGTTTTTAGGGTAATGTGGTTCTTCAGGGTAGTAGTCAGTAAGTTGTCTTTGTACAGTGAAGCTTGAAATTATAGCAGTGGTGTTAGGCTTTTAATAAAATTTAGTTATGTCTTGTTTCATGGTGTTCTGGTATTTATACAATTTGCCCGTTATCTTTTTATTTCTTAAGGGCATTGTGTAAAATCACAGCAGCTATATAGCAGGCTTATACAAGTGTCGAAAAACAACAAAAGAGATGTAATACTAAATGGTGAATGGTTTTCTCTGATGTGGCTTTAAAAAAAGAATTTCCCTTTGATGGATTTGAAGAGGAGCTGGCCACTTTCTGCAGCACTGAATGCTGGCTTGTGTCACCTTTTGGGGGAGTTTTTTCAGCAGGTTTGTGTCACAGTAAGCACAGCTAAACAGCTCAATAGTTGTTCCGTTTCCTTCACACATTGTATATAAAAGTCCTGGAATGAATGTTCCCATAAAGTTCAAAGCAGACAAATTTGTAATGTGGGTTGGTAACAAATGGCTACAAACAAAATATGGCTTTATTAGCTACTTCTAATGGCCTGTCAGATTCTATACAATGCTTGCTTTCCTTTTCCTAACTGCTCTGATATCTGGAGGGTTTGACCTGTGGGTCTCTGACCATGTGGAGTCACTGAGAGCCCAAATGAAAAGCTGAACAGAATACTGCTCCAAGCACTTTTGTAGGGGTCACAATTAGAAGGAAATCTCAAGCCTTTGAGAAAACATGGGAGTTAGGTACTCCGTGAAGGAAAGGAAGTCATAAACAGAAACTGTTCCCTGTTAGAGTGGAGGGAGGAATAAAGGGGGAGAGGCCTGAATGGAATTGTCTAAAGAACAGCTACTACAGGACATATTTATCAAGATTTAAGGGATGATGGCAACATACACATTTTTTCTATTCTGAGAAAGCTGGAGCAAACTTACAGGAAAAAGCTTCCAAAGGATGTATCTGCAGATTTGTTGTTGCAGGGAAAGAAGCTTGTGTCAGCAGTAGGCTGTGTGTGTGTATGAAGACTAATCCTTTTTTTTGTCTTTAATAAGTGCATTTATAAATGTTCACATTGGATTGTGTTGATAGAATGAGGAGCAGAAAACATGAATTAATTTAATTTCTTTTAATTGGCATGAGTATTAAAGTCATTTCAGATAGGTGCTACTGGTTTTGCTGTTACTTTGTTTTAATAATGCCCTATTTTCCCCAGTGCCAGGTGTGCTTGTTTGAGCTATGAGGCCGAATGGCCCAAGGTTGCCAAGCTTTTGAAAGAAAGGTTTCTGCTAAGGCTTTTTTGTTGCAGCCTACAGGTAAAAGCTCTGTGGCATCTTGAGCTGTTGTAAGCCAGGGCAGCTGCAGTGCTGCTGTGTGCCCCACAACATCTTGCCTGTGCCATCCTGTCTCCTCCACTGTTGCTCCTGGGACTAACCAGTGGATTTGACTTGGGGAACTGAACCAGATGAAAAGTAATCTACTTCTTGGTTAGTTTGACTGAATCACTGAGTAGCTGCATGGGTATCAGTGGCACCTTGGAAGAGGAGATGGGAATCAGTAGCTGTGATGGGAAAGGGGACATTCGGTGGGGACCACGGCAGCTTTCATTTTAGCCATATCCTAAATTACTGTATGATCTTGCTGTCCTCCTGTCAGCTGAGACACGGTGGCACAGCAGATTCCAGTGTTCACAGTCAGGCCCTATAGCAGTCACAGAGCCACAGACAGACAGAAGACAGTGCACTTCTTTTTGTAAGGCGAGTTTTCTGCCAGTTCCCATCCCTAAGCTGTTTAATGCAAGCCCCTGAGTGCAAGTGCAGAGGCATGAGCATGCATGTATGCAGGCTGTGGACAAGGTGGGATTGTGGTGGTCCTCACCTGCATCCATGTAAACAATAGGGAAATTGTGGCTTTAGTGTCATAACTTTGATTTATCTTGTGCTTTCTGGAGGTCATGCAGTGTTGAAAGGGGAAGATTGTACCTGGAACTGAGGTACACTACTCTGCTAGATCGTTCAGAATTCAGAGTTTATGGATTCATTCTGTGACATCAGTTATTCACTGTGTCTTTTCATTGAGGCAGAGCAATTCCTATGCAAAACAAAACAGTAGCCCAGAGTGGAGGTTGAATGCCACTTGAATCTTCTGTAGTGCTGTGACCTGACAAAGTTGGTTGTGATTCTACACATCTACAGTTGTATGAGCTCAAAATAATACATACTGTTGCTTGGACAGATAAACTTTTTTAAGATGTCAGTTGTCTTGTTTCATTATGCTTGGTACCATGGAAAACAGCACATCAGCAATCCCTTCCTAATTGTATTAAGTAGTTCACAGTTCTGTTCTACCTCATTTTAATGAGTCTCTGAAAGATGTTTAGAGTGCTGGACAGTTTTTCCTCTGGTTGACACGCCTTTTTTGTTGTAGAAGGCAGGTAGTAAATTAGATTTCAGAGGACCTGTGTTGGGAATTAGTAGTGAACTAAATCCAAAACTAGATACACTTGGCTCATGGAACAGCATAACTTCAGATGGATCTCAGTAGGTGTAGGCTATGAGGAAAATACATGGGAGGGTTTGGGAATCCAGATTCTCTGTCCCGCCTCTAGAATATGAAGTAGTAGAAAAGTAGTTGAGAAAGTCATCTCAAGAAACAGTACACCCTGAACAAATATCTTTATTAGGTGAACTCTTAATAGACCAGGAAAACACTTCCTAGCATTACTTAAGCAACTATGATTGAGAGCAGGAGGTAACTCTTCTTTTCCCAGAGATTAAACAACTGGGATGAGGGACTCTGGTGACATTTATACACAGCTTAGTCCAGTAAGCTCTAATCATGATCAGGGCTGTGGGCACTACCATCATGTAAATATTAATTACCACTACAGCCATTCTTGTAAGGACAAAGCAGTATTAAAGAGAATGTAGTGCAGTAACCCTCTTTTTTTGTAGTCTTTGTTGAATTCTTTGCAGGTAAGCAA